CGGGCGCGTGGGTGCTTCGGGGTGGCCGGGGCAGTCCCTTCGCAGATCTGGCGCGTTTCGCGCGTCCTGCGAGGTGCCTGCCTCGCTGCGACTGTGACAGTCGCTGGATCTCGTTGCCCGGGTTGAGTTGGTGGTGGCGGTGCGGTGGGGGTCGGCGGATGCGGGTGGGCTCTCCTTCAAGCATGTTCACGCCCATCTCCTGGAGTAGCGGCGCCGTACAGCGGCTGTAGCGCAGAGGAGGTTCTCAAGCACACCAATTCCGGCTCAGCTGGTCTTGTCCTTGCGCGCGGCGGTGCGGACGCAGTCAGTTTGTTTTGGTGTCCGTCCAATCACGGCGCGCGGCGGTGCTGCCGGCCAGCTCCGGTTCTAACTCGGCTCTTCCTGTGCACTGCGGTGCGGTTCCTCGCCCAGATCTGCACATGGAGGCTGAGGATGGCCGGATCTGGTTTGGCGCCCAGGCCTGCACGCGGCGGGGCGGCCCAGCCAGGTTGGCTCGTGTTCGTCAAGTTTCTGCGTGCGGCGGTGACAAGTCTGTTCCTGGTAGTGTGTGCATGGCCTTTTTCTTCACGTCAACTCTGGTTGACCTCGGATCCATGTGTGTTGGTGGAAGACTCGGCTTCGGATGAAAGTCCTGCACTGTTCTGGTCAGTGCTGACGGTAACGGCACCTATGGGTGTCGTCTTCCTCCTTGGAGGTACCGCTGTGGAGCTCGTTTTGCTCTTTGTACCTCATGGCTTGTGGTCTCCAGGTGAAAACCTAAGATTTGGCTAGTCCAGATCGAGGGACGGTGTTGTCTTCGATATCACTCCCTCCTTGGAGGCGTCCTCTTGGAGGCCCAGCGATGGTTCCCGATGGTGTACATGGCTTGTCGGTGGAGCTTGAGTTTGTGGTGGTGCCGGCCTTTTTTCTTTCTTTTCTTTTTGCACTAGCCTTTTGATGTGCTTTCCTGCTCGGAGGGTTCTTGTAACGCTTCTTCTGATCAATGAATTTGGCAGCTCTACTGTCAACGTTCAAAAAAAAGAATCACACGACGTCGGAGATGGCGCAACACCTTGACGAGATCATCGCCAACAAGCTCCATGCCCCAGGGCTCACCTTCCATGAGTGACGACTCGACTGAGAGCATATACATAGATGATACAAATTTAGAGATCTAAAACTAGATTTATAATTTACATCATCAAAAGGTGTATTTTACATCTAAAAACAAGTAACTCCAACAGATGATGTATCTTGATGATGTTAAAGTTCAACTTCAATAGATGATGCTTATTGAAGATGTAAAAAAAAGGATGGTGTACCAAAATAGTTGCACCTCTCATGCGCCTCAACCCGTTCTCTCTTGATGAACTCACACTAGTAGAAAACAGGGGCTTTGATTCGGCTGGAAAAAAGCATTAATCCCGGTTGCATTACGAATCGGAAATATTAGTGTTACTAAATAATTATTATTTTTAGAACAATAGTTTCAAACTCAAACAGTGAAATTTGTGACTTCATGCTCAAGATAAACTCCTGAGGGTTAATAGGATTGACATCTTACTATTGTGAGGAAAACAACAAGTGCAAACTTGAAAACGAGGGAGAATAGAACCCGGAAGTTAAGCGTGCCCTCAGGCTAAGGGAGTGGGAGGATGGGTGACCGTCCGGGAAGTTAGATGATTTGGAATGATGAGGCCTGATTAGAGATTAACTTGAGCAGTGATGAGGGGTGATTAGAGATTAGATGTTAAAACAATTCAGAAATTTGAAAATCGGGAAAATATTTCAAAAAACAATTCAAAATATTTTTTCAAAAAAAATCCTTTAGTACCGGTTGGTGTTACCAACCGGGACTAAAGGTAGACCTCTAGGCAGCAGCCACGTGGAGGGCCTTTAGTCCTGGTTCGTATAAGAACCGGGACTAAAGGGAGGGACCTTTAGTAACGACCCTTTAGTCCCGGTTCCAGAACCGGGACTAAAGGCCCTCTAGAACCGGGATAAAAGGTTCTTTTTCTACTAGTGTCATGGCCAAACATGGAACTGCCGTGCTTCAGCTTCTTCCTCTTGTGCATCGCCACTAGCATAGCAATGTCCTCTTCTTCGGTGAAATCAAATTCCTCATCCAACAAGGAATCGTCCATGGAAAAGGAGTCGCACGAGCTCATCTACAATGGGGAAATCACAGTCAAACTACATCTTCAACCCATCGGCGGCGCCAGGGGTATTCACGTGTATTCATATGAATACCCAAGGTTTGGCCCCAAAAAATTAATACATGTCTTATTTAACGGCCCACAGCCCATAGCCCACACAGGATACCGGCTACACTCATCCCGTTCACTCGATCCAACCCCCACTCGTCCGTTCCCCAAGTCCCCAACCTAACCTAGCGACTGCGGCCAGCAGCGGTGGCGGCGGCGAGTAGCGGCCAGCGGCGACGGCCAGTACTGATTGCAAGCAGCGGCAAGCGGAGCCGCTGAACGGGGACCAGCGGTAGGCCGGCAGCGGACCAGGTTCTATTCTCCTCTTCTCCTAGTTCTAATTCCTATGGGCTTATGCGGCAGCGCCTGGTCAAATTGTAGCAGCGCCTGGAGCATCACAGAGCGAGCTAGTGCTGGATTTGTCCTAGTTCCCAATTCCTAATTCCCAGTTCCTAGTCAAATCACATGCTCCCAATTTCTAATTCCTAGTTTTATTATCTGTAGGTGGATTGGTAGTGCAGTCAAATTGGACAAATTGCTGCTAGTGTTGGATTTGAATGCAACGAGCTACTGCCTAAGGTGGGTATTCCGGGTTAAAGTTTTGGGGACAAATTGCTGCTTGTGTTGCTGTCAAATATGCACATCACTCTGCTACTGCCTACTGAGTGCGTGAACATATTATTGGTTGAATAATTCGGTACAACTCCTCTGCTATTCATGATGTTGTAGAATGATTTTTCTGTGTCAGGACAAATTGCTTGTGCTGTAAAATGCATTCATATTCATTTGTTTAGAACGATCCGAACACTAGTTTGCTACACGACCA